GATTTTATATATTTGTGTTGTAAAGGTTCTTTAAGGAAGCATTTGTTTAGCAAAGATGTGGTCCATTATGAGTTAAGATCACTTTATTGGTCATATACAATTTCTTATATTAGGAAAGGATGTATACTTTAAACAAGGAATTCATTTTAAAAAAGGAAAGGTTTAAAAATAACCTACATTGTTTTTCTTTGTACAAGGTTATGCTAACTTTCACTGAAATAGTCAGTTTCAGGGCTTCCCAATCCTGTTTCTAGACACAAACACGCTGTTCTAGCTAACCTTTAATATTCCACTATCATCCTACAGGTGGCATTATCTTAAATGTTTTAGGATAACACGATTCATCCATCCATTTTTTAATGGTAATCCTATACAGGGTCACAAGAAAGCCAAAGTGTATCCTGGCAAGAAAAGAGAGCAAGGCATGATACACCCTGGATGGGCCACCAGTCCATTGCAGAATAGGATAACTCATTGCCTCATATTTCATGATGATCTGTGAGAGAAAATGTAGATTTTTCGATGTTTCCAACACAGCAATGAACACGACTGACCATTTTTTAAATCACTCATCCTATAGTAACTTGTAAAAAAGGATGGTAAAGGTACTTTCTGCTATATTGCTGTCAAACAATGGAATCCTCCAAATAAGATGCTCTTCTAATGAAGGCACACTTATACATTTTAGTTTTTTAACTTCTTCTGCCATATTTGTACCCATTGTAGCACCATATAATGTAATATTTATACATATGATACTGCAGTATATGGACCAATACAGTGGCATAGTAGGTAGCACTGCTCCATCAAAGCTCTTGGATCCTGGGTTTAAGACTGGCCTGCCGCATGTTCTGTGTGGAGTTTGCATGTTTTCCTTGTGTCTGCATGGATTTCTCCAATGTTAAAGCCTTGCCTCAGCCCCCCACATGCACGTTTCATATGGGTCCCATCTAGGGTATAGTCCGACCTTGTGACCAGTGCGTACCATCTTAGAATTTCACCATAAGCCTCCCAGTGGTTGCTAAAATTAATAATAAATGAAGTCATTATTTTACCTTTATCAGACTGCATAGTCCCCATTTGGCATACTTTGTGCAGGAAGGTGGAAAGCTTCCAACATGTCACTTTGATAACTAGGGATCTTCCAGCTGGTATTTCACATGCTTTAGGTAGGAAAAGTATTTTCTCATGTGGTTATGCACCTAGAGCACCAATCATTATTTCAGTTCAATACCAGTATATATTGTAAAGTCCTAGTTTGTACTACTTATGAATACTTTTAGAAAGTATTTAAAATTTGTTCATTGTTACTGGTTTGGATGGGTTAGAATTTTCTTTCTGGTATTTTCTTTTACGCTAGAAATCCTCAGAATGGCACCTTACTCTAATGTGAATTGACGGTATGGAATTATTCTCTGGGCATTCAGCACCCGGTGAGTAAGCAGAGGATCAAAGGCATAGCTTTTTTAGTTTTAAAGAAAACAGCTGGGACAGACGTCACACCTCATACTTTTCACTATAGAAGAGCCAAACTGCAGAGTGGAGGCTTCTGTTGAAGTATGACACAAATAGACTATTTTAAGAAGAGAAAAAGGTGTAGGTCTCTACATGCATCGCACAAGAATGCTGTCAAATTCTGAGTAGAAACTATTACTTTGTTGCCGAAACAATTTCTGTGTTTATATTAAGAGAAAATCATTTGCACATCCATAAAAATAATGAGCATAAAATAAATGTAGTTATTGAGGTTTAAGTAATTCAGTAGTCTTTATTTTTATATTTAACCATTACAGGTTATCAAGGCAGGCAAAGAAATTAGTGTCAGACCAAGCTGCTTGTCCACCTAAAATAACCAGGAGAGGAAATAGACTTAGAGGTGTATAGGCTTTTAAGTTGAACTTACATTAATATAGTTAATGAAACAATAGTTCACAGAGTTGTACCCAAGGTGTAAGGTAGTGTTGTTAAGAAGCATACAGTATAAACACTTAACAAAAAGACTTAAAAAACAGAGTTCTACACAATTAAGTTCTTTACTTGCTTATTTATTTGTTTTATGGGAAATCGTTTTTCCATTGCTTTTAAAATTCAAGGAAGAAATACATTCAGTTAGGTTTGTAGAAAGCCACACAAGCAGGAAGAAAAATTAAAATACATTTTTTAAAAAAAATATCAATTGATTATGATACATCTTTATTGTACATTTTCAATTAAAAACTGAAATGTCACAATATTTTTTTTTTGCCATTTAGATATAATGCACTATGCCTTAACCAGTCTCAACATCCATTTTATGCATACTCATCAACTAAAATAATAAAGGGTATGGGAATAAATAAGTACAAAATTAAATAAAACGGCATGCAACTTTCACCCATCATTAAAACACCCTTTTTAGAGGAGAGCATATAGAAATTAAAAGCAAACCAATTCTGAGGTCCAATATACATACTCAGGAGTTAAGCAGTGTAAGACAGTAAGATCAAATGTTAGATCTAAACTGTAGTCTATATTTTTATGTGTCTGCAAAGCACAGTCTTTAAGATGTGGAAGAAGTAGTGTTTGTAGAAATTGATATCACGTATGCATGAAGTCACTATATTCCCACTTTACGAAGCACAGGATGCTATAAAGCAGGATGCTCAGCAGTGGAAATGCAGTCATTTAAAACATTTTCTAATGGACAGTAGCTCAGATTGGAAAACATCACCCCAAAGAGAAGAAAATGTAATTGATAAGGAAAGACTCAAATCTGTCCTGGAGGGCTAGAATACCTTAATGCAACAGCAGCAGGGTACAAACAATAGTACAAACTTCAGCTCTTCAATGACTCTAGACCTGATGCATGAGAAAAACACTTTCCAATAACAAGGTAGTTCTAAAGCAGAACAAAACAGTTTCAAGCTGGGTTCAATTGAATCAACAAAAAAGCCTTAATGTGAGGCGTTCTGATTTCTACCCAGTGAAAGCTAATATTCTGAATTCTAATTGGCAAATTTGGAATGGAGAAGAAGAAACTGGAAAAAAAAAACACTGCAGCATTGCAGGAACTGAAATGAAACAGAAACATGCAGGAGAACAAGTGTGGCTAGCTGAGAAGCTCCAAAAATAAAGCAGCTGCTGTAACACATTATAGCTGCAGTCTGATTTACAAGAAAAGATCTCTCACGAAACTTCAAAGCAGCACTCTGTTCTCTGCTGGCTCTTCCTGAATTACCCTGTGCAGGACAGGGACCTGAGGACCACAGGCAACCATGAGGGACTGTCTATAGGATTAGTGCATCTCTTTATACAGGATGTCACTATTTTGCATCCTGGCCATTTCATCTCTCATCTTGAAAGAGTAAATTCTGTTTGATACTCTGGTCCAAAAGGCCATCTATGATCCCACTAGCAGGCTCTGGTAAAACAAACTGCCTTCCTGATTCAGAACCTCTTGAACTCATACTGGTCAGGTGAATGAAATCAACTGATGACAAAATAAGCTCAGGTGTTCAGTAACATTCAGTCCTCCTTTGTCACTTGTATAATCACAAGCTCTGAGAAGAAACTGTGAATTTGACATTTGATATAGGGTAGAGGTGGATATTAACATTGGGTGGAACACTAAATGTAATCAATCAAAAAGGTTGCTGGGATGCAGGTAAAAAGATGTCAAGCACAGAGGTACATATTTTTTAAGTCTGCCATGTTTTGGAGGAATGAAAATAGAACATTTCCAGACAAGAGGTTAATCAGCATCTTGAACTTAAATTACTTTTTGTTATTAAAATAATAAGTGGAGAGCCACAGACAAACCAAATGTGAGGATACATAGTTAAAAACACACATGTTGAAAATTAACAATGCGCTTGTAAGACCTCATTTAGAATACTATGTCCAATTGTGGGCACCATGTTACAAAGAAGATATTTTTTCCAGTCCAGAGAAAGGAAACCAGATAAATTAACTGGCTCAAAGAAATGAATGTTTTTGTCTTGAGCAGCGAGGACAAAGATCAAACCTGATTTGAGTATTCAAAATTTTCAAAAGCATTGACAAAGCCTACCCAGTGAACTTTAGAATCAACAGTGAAACATTTAAAAGAGGTTACAAGTGGAAGTGAATTTAAACTTAAAAAATAGGAGGCTCTTATTTATATAAATTAGGCCTGGCTTCTTTAAAAATGGATGGATGAGGTCCTTGTATCAGTTAACTACTAACTACTAAATGTGATAGATGGGGCAAATGGTCTCCTCTTGTTTGCAACCTTACTTATGTTCTTATATATAATTTCCTGAGGTTAGTCTTCCAAGAGCCTCATTAGGTTAAAAAACCACAAAGCCAAATCCAAACTAATTTAGCAGTTTTCTGCATATTGTTGCATATATTTTTTCATTCTTTAATTTGTTATGACATACATGACACAAATTATTGTGGTGATACAGGTTTTTAAAACAAATTATCAACTTAAAGATGCCTTTAATTAAACCTAATGTTGAGTCCTCAACAGGTGCAAAAATATCTCCATTTTAAGTAAACTGAAGACAAACGTGGCACGCTGCTGACGAAGTAGAATATGAGCCCTACAAGTTGTCTCTTGGGTTTTGTTAAAACAAGTTCTGAAATGTAAGCTCGAAATTGATAAATAATAATGTGACAGAAAAAAAAACATAAATAAAACTGTTGCACAGATAAGAATTCACAGAACTTCAGTGGAGATACTCAGGCTGCATTCATATTGGTGGTTAATGTATTCATGTTCTAATTATAAGATTGAAATACACTTGGGGTGTGAGCTTATACACTACAGGTAGGGAATGCTCTACACTTTCTGTATTCCTCTTCACTTAGAGCAATAAAATAACATGGCATTTCTGAATTAGGAAAAAAATAAAATATTGATTTCACAGAGTTTACGCTGCTGAAACATGGTGTTCAAAGCCATGCTTCGCAGAAGATGTTAGAGCATCAAAGATTCAAAGAACTCCATCACTGCAATAAAAACAAATATCCATTACCTCGGTATTGATATTTTTTATTTGTATTTGTTTACATTGTAGAATAAAAAACACTACAGTGTAGACTGGTATACGCTCTGCAGAGGATAAATATTTTGCCACCCACAGTTAAACATTTAAAGTAAATATTTTAAATTTTCTGTATTTTTTCTTCTTTTAGTTACCTGAGAATAGTAACATTCAACAGTTTTGTATTTTCACAGGCCAGCAGGTTCACAGGCCCTTTTTGTTTCAATAACATGTTTTTTAAACTTCCTAAACAGCAGTGTGCTTTGCAAAATAAAAGGTGTTATCTACCAAATAACAGTCCAAATAAAAAAAAAAAAACACTGCCACAGCACTTTTTGAACTTTGCTGGTGACTGATGTTCCTGTTTATTGTGTAACAGCATGATCTGTGCTATCAATCACAACCACAGAGCTGCAGGTAACAGAAAAGTGAAGACCCCTTCCGTCTCCCTTCACAACAGCCCAATATAAAGCTAGCTAAGGCAATCCCAATAAATTATTATACAGTAATATCTACACAGTGCACCCATTTTGTTCGGCTGTTACGAATGTAACACAATAAGAAATTGCCAAACAAGACCTAATCACATCAGCTTTGCTCACAATTTCTTTATAACCCAGAATCTCTACCATGGGATTCGTGACAGTGTAACAAACATGCTTTCCAAAACTATCTGTACAATAATTCATGCATTCCTAAATCCAAACAGAGATAATTTAAAGGTCAAATGCGCAGGTGCTCATAAGGGCTCTCTTTTTGTCCTCATTTATATTTGTATTGTATGGTACCTCAGCCCTTTTAAGTACAAAACACATTTAAAATATATTTAAACTTCTGCAATAAAAGGCATGCTGTCTTTTGCACACTTCAATTTCTCTCGAGTTCAAAGAGCTTCATACTGACACAGTGACCAGGAAGAAAAGACTATTTTCTAGACAGGCTTAACTGAGTATTTGACAAATACATCTACTGTATGAAGAAGACGTATAAGAGATATCTCTAGGATGTTAGTACTGAGATTACCTCTTGTGAGCAAAAATAAACAACATCAAGTTATCAGCCTTATCGCGTCTTTGTCTTGTTTTGTGAGAGATTAATTTGTTGGGGTTTCCCTCTTAGTGTGTAAAAACACAGTGTTAAACTAAGAGAAGACAAAAGTACGGGTAAATGAAAAAGTCAGCTCATCTGTGAAATGAGCACCTATACATTCAATGGATGACTGTTGTAAGTGATCTGCTTCAACGCACACACACACACCTCTTTCCTGACCCTTAAAAACCCTACTTAATATTTCAAAAACAAAATGAAGAGAAAGGGGTTCGGCAATCAATTTCCGCATCACAGTTTCATCACATCACATCTCCTTGGAATTTCAGGGCCAGGGCATTTTTTTCTTTCTCCAAAATTATGAAAAATATTTAGAAACATGAGAAAGTAGCAAAAATAAAATCACATAATTAACACTTAAGAAGTAAATGAAATGCACACCTATGTCTATATAGCTGCTCGTTTAAGATCATAGCCATGGATGCGTACTTTCCTGTTTGCTTAGCTCACCCTTTTTGGTCTCCTGGGATGAGTTCTGCTCCATTCCGATAGTGAAGCTGCAGAACACTGTAGACAGCTGTTGAGTCCCAGACAAATAGAAATGGAAAGCCATGTGCAACAGCTTCTCTGAGGACCACAAAGACAGCAGGACCTCATCCCATGCTGCTGCACATGGGGGAGGATATTGTCACTTGCAAACATGCACACACACAAACACAGCACACACACACGCGGGCGCTCACACACACTGAGCGCAGACGCTTAGCCCGAGTCCATGCTGAAGAGCTCGATGCCTTGTGGGTTCCAGTATAGACCCACTCCAGAGTTGAAGACCAAGGACCAGACGTACGGCACGAAGAACTCTTCAGGCTGATCCTCTTCCACATACTTGAATTTCAGCTCCGGAAACTTCTGCATAAGAACACGAAGAGTTAGAAACAATGGTGCAGCGCCAGACAGCCCTTCAGGAAGGCCAAACAGAAAGGTGTCACAAGTAATAATCTGAACCCTGAATAATCCAATTTTGTTGTGTGTCCCATACAGCTTTCCACTTGTTTGTACATAGCCTATTTTTTATCATCTCCATTAAAGAAAAATCAGATGCTTCAACACTTCAAACTCCTGGGTTCGAGTCCAGCCTGGAACATGTTCCGTGTGGGGTCTGCATGGTCCCCACATGCCCATATGGTTCCTTCTGGAGGATCCAGTTTCCTCCCACAATCCCGTGACATGCTTTCCTCAATATCAAACTTTTCTAAATTGTACCCTGAAAGCTTTGTGCTTTGATCCCTGCAGTGGATCGATGTCCAGAGTAGAGTATAGTCCTGTCTTGCAACCCTTTGGTGAGAGTAATATTTTTGGTGTTAAATGAGTAAACATGTTAATATGTAAAAAAAAGAAACTTACTTGACTTGTTTTTTTTTTTTACAAAATACTTTCTTTCAAAATGTTTTAACATTAAACAACCAGTGTGAACCTACAACATGACTTTATGCCAGGTTAAAACCTAAGAGTGGAAAATGCAGGGTGGCAGAATTAAAAATAGGCATCTTTCTGTAGATGAACCTCTATCATGTTCTCCAACAAATAATTTAATCAACTTTAATTCTGATATCAGAGTAATCCATCACAAGACAGTACTTGTTTTTGACCGACTACTTTAAGATGAATATCTGGAATCTACTGGAATCTTCCAGTATAGCTTTGTGGACAAAACATGTATGTTTAGAAGTCAGTCACTAGCAGTGTCTGGATCAGGTTTCATTTAACAAGATGTATCCAGCACCAACCACAGGGATACAAGCAAAAGATTATCTTATTAGTAAAATCTTCATCAACAGGCTGGTCAGAAACATGTTTTCTAAACAGAGATGACCACAGCTGGATTATTCTAGTCTGTAACTGTCTGCATGCACATCTAAAGGTATTGCAGTGTCTTATGTATGAAAGCAAAATGCAGAGAGATAAGACTGGCAAAACATGACCCAGGTAGAAAAATGAACAAAACAATATTCCTGTTGATGATTACATACACTTTACTTTGTCTAAAGTATTGTTAAAATATAATTTATTTGTATTTGTCAAATGTAATACAAAATCAAGAATGTTTTTCTCTTAAATGGAAAGTTTATAAAATTTTAGAAATTTTAAAAGCTTTTAGCTTTCACCACAACACACAATTTTATTTCTAGACATAACACCATGCACCACACAAAATATATGTTTTCTACTGTATTTTAATAATATAAGTAACTTTTAATGCTTTCGAGCTCTTTAATGGGACAGTATGATGCTCAACTGAGTAAGAAGCTATTTCAACACTCTGTCTTTGTCCTTTTAGAAGATGCCAAGGAAAGAAACTACTACAGTGTATTACTATAACCTGTGGTTGCAATATTACCATGCAGTTGCCACGTGATCTAGAAATTAAAAGACTGTATGTATGATTGTTATCAACAATCACTGTTACTATTTCCACCCACAGACAGATGGGTGTGTGGAGGCATGGAGATGTAGATCTTAAACTATGATCAATGACCTCTTCATTTGTTCAGAGCAGTTGTAATTTGTTCATCAATTTCCCTGCGGGATTAATAAAGTATTATCTATCTAAAGGCAGGTGTGCCTTACTGATATTCCCAACTGATTGTGGAGCAGTTTTGCATTTGTCATCAGGCATAGCACAACCTTCAGTCCTAGACTTTTCACAGCATGTGTTGTACTATTAGAACACCCCTGTGAATGACCTTGGGTGGCTTAAGTTAATAATAAGTACTTAGATACTTAGAATCATTTGCAACATAACTGGTAAAGCTTTAACAGCTCTCAAAAAACTGTTGTGGTATCACAGCTGTTCATTTACACACCATTACCCATTGCATGTGGAAAATTAAGAAAATATTTTTCAGATCTCTTATTTAACCATTCAGTGTTGTCAAAGCTCCTTAAGTAAATATGTCTTGAACAAAGAAAATCAAAACAGCTGAAAAGGTAGTCTTGTGCTACAATAAATGCCTTCAAAATGAAGGATGTTTTTATCTCAGTATAGAAGCATATATACTTGTACTTTCGTTCGTTGCTTGAGAAGCTACATTTCTTTTCTGTCTCAAGTGGCTACACTTCTGTTTCACGCTGACATCAGAGGCCATGTATCATCCCAGGCTTATAATTCACAACTCGGATAATTACTGTGATGTGCTATGTCTGTGATGAAGGAATCATTCCAAATAGAATTGTTAAAAAAAAACACTGCTTAACACATTAAGAAGTACTTTTATTCCAAAACTTTAAGCATCACACATTTAAATGAATTCATTTCTACTGCTTGCTCAGGCTAAGGCATGGAACAAAGACGTAAAAGGGTGATCTTTCCCCGCTACAAAGGATTGTGCCTGTTTCTGAAAAGGAGATAGATGTTCGGTGACCATGTCTGCCAGCTGCCTACAGTATGTCACCATCCAGGTACTGTCTTGGAGGAAAGTCATACTTCAGTGATTACTAAAGGAGATAAAAGACAAGCCCTTCTATTATTTATAAGTGCCTGGCTACGGCCAACAATATCCTGCCACAGACAGGCAGGATCAAAATAAGAAGACTAAGGGATGGCAAGTTTTTTTTCCTCTCCATCAATAATGGAGGAATATCTTATCATATTTCCACAGCCCTGAGTGTCAAGTGTTTCCCTTGTGTTGAGCCAACAGACCCACATCCACCTGCTGTAGTTTCTGTACTCCTAATTGACAATTTCTGCCGCAATGCATTTTTTTCTGCTTTTATGTCTTTTAATCGTATTGAATTCCGTCTCTTTAAGATGGTGCTCACACCCATGTATGAATTTGACCATGCAAACTTTTCAAGATTCTGCATAGTGGGTTTTCTACAGTTTCAGAAAGAGGAAAAAAAGTATTATGCTAAAGTGGAGCTTTTTCTATGTTTTTGAAAAACTTAACTCAAATAATCAAATGATGATCACCAAGTGGAAATTGGAAGACAGTAGGTTTATAGCTTTATTATTGCTTTCACATGAAGCATTACAGTGCTTCCTAAATTTGCCAGTTATACAATATTCAATATTTGTCTTCAGTAAATTTGCTTTCACAATGGCCTGAAATCAACAGTTGCAATTTTTTGTTAAGTAACCCTTGACTATGTTCACTTCCCTGGTGTTTTGACTCATGAAATGAGTGTTTCACATTTGGCTGCAAATACTGAAAGATAAAGTGATGAAATCTGAAATATGTTAAAATTTCACATTGAGTAGATTATCTGAATATTATTTTTCCTTATTAGGCTATAGCTCTGTTACTAACATATTTGATTAGCAAATACTTTGTATTAAATCATCATTAAAGATTACACTGGCAAAGCCTTTCAGAAATTAAATCATTGTTTTGATGAGTTCTAGTCAGTTACCACATAATGTGTATAGTATGTATCATACACACATACTCTATATATATATAATGTAGTAATTATTTATATATTTAGGAATAGTGTTTGGTCCCAGAATATTGTCATTATCACTTTCCTGACACTTGGACTTGACTTGAACGTTCCTGGTGCCGTTTACACTTTGGCACCTCTTTTCAGCTCAATCGGGGTGCTCTCCACGGCTAGTACTTCAGTGGGGATAATAAGGTTCACATGGCAGTGAAGGGCTGGCTCTGAGTCCCAGGCAACATCTTATTGTCATGAAGGAGTGGTGGCAGAAAGGCGTGGAAGTGCTCAGAATAGACAGATCAAGAGCAGTTGAACAATTCACAAATTCCCTTGACTTCTTAGTATACAGTACATTGTGCTTTAACACCTGAACACTAAGGAAACATGTGTTTTCATTAGGTGGTATATGCCCTTGGCACTTGTTGTTCAGGATCGCAAACCTATTAGTCAAGACTGCTCCTCAGAGATCAGTGCCTGTGTGCCTGTGTGTGGGACTGTGTTCTGTTGCTGGACTTCCTCCAGGGTCACCCCACAAAGACAGGCGGACAGACTGTTCTCAGCCTCATGCTTTATGTGTCGAGTGCCTGGCCAGATACTGTAGCTACTTTCAGGACTCTTCATTCTTACTCTGCCTTTAAAGGAAGTTTGCTCAGACAGACAGGGTGGAATGATGTTTACTGGAGTTAAAAAAAAGAAATCCTGCCTGGTTGAGATAGCATCTCCCTTGCAAGCCCTGTCTACACGGAAATGCAGCCTGTGCTTTACAAACTGCTCTGTACTTTGTTGCTTTAACAAGATGCTATGCTCAACGTGATACCCTGGTAGATAATGATACACCCTTGATTAACCACTGTGGAATGGGCAAGAACTATAAATGATTATGGGAAGAATACAGGACCTTCCTTAAGTAGATACCATGATATGAAATAAATATAAATTTAAGAATCCTATTGAACGTTCAACCTGAAATACAGAAAAGAGACCTCTTATGATTTACAGCATAGGGAAGTTGTGGCTAGTGATGGTACTGATCAGTTTTCTTTGATCAGACATACAGTATAATGGAACAGACGTGCACCCTTATTTCAGATTAGCTTAGACTTTGAATCACTCTATCTGTTCAACGCCACGGTACTGTATGAGAACACCCTTTTTTTGGTAGAAAACAACAGCTGAGGAATGAGGTGAATAAATGTGTCTGAAGAGCTGAATGACTCCTGTTCAGATACTTTAATAAAGGCCAATCTAAATTATTGTGGAGGACTATTCTTAATCACCTTATGTCAAAACACTTAATTATCAGTGCAACAGAAAGCCCTTAATTTTATTTTCACCACTTTTCCTAGCAAATGTTCTAAAACAATTCCAGGAGGTATAACCCCTCTCTGATCTGTCTGTTCAGAAATGGGGTCCAATTAATAGAGCTACTATCAGTTTGTCTGACAAAATAAGAACCAATTTGAGCTTTTCTG